GGGGGTTTCAAAGTTAAAATGCGGAAATCCAATTTTAATTGAAATTGATGACGTATTTATTTTGAAATAAGTGATCCAGCAATCTGATCTTATCTTCAACTTGAATGAAAGTTTTACTCTTTATTTATTTATTTTTTACGAAGAATTATAAAAATTTTCCGATTTCATGAAATGGGGATCTTCAAACACTCCCATTTCACTTTCCGATTTTAAAATCTTGAATTTAACTTTGAAACCCCCTATTATGATAACCTCCTTTTTCTCTACGACAAGTAATAGTTGATAAGATTTGTGTTAATATAAACATCTGATGGATGGCTTGCTTCTAAATAATATATAAAAATGTTTTTCGTACAAATCTTAACTACAATAGCAATGATAATTATAAACCACGTGATAATCATAACAAATCAAAGTTAAACTTTACTACGTATAGAAGTTTTAATTTAATGATAAACTTGAAAGTCCGAAGTCTCATTTTTCCTTTATATTTATTATTATTTATTTATTTATTTATTTATTTATTCACTTTCAATTAACTACCCCATATGGGAATGGGGTTAGAAAACGCATTTTCTCATATTAGGAGTTTCAGACTTAAGGTTCAGGTTTCTGATTTCGAATTAAATTTAACGATGTAATTTTGTAATCAGCGATCTATAAATCCTATTTATTTTTATTTGCAAGCCTATTTATATAATAATATATAATACATCATCTAAAAAAATTTGTTCAAAATAAGTTAACTCTGATATCTCACCAAGATACGTGCATATGAGTAACGCCAAAGGAAACTTGTAAGTCATACTTTTTAATGGTTTACTTTTAATAAGAATATCTTAAACCAAACAATTGAATAAAAAGTAAAACTTTCGTTCAACTGAAGATAAGATCAGAATGCCGGATCTAGAGATCCAATCCGGATAAATCCGTCATCCATTTATCCATATCTGAATTTATCCGGATATCCATTTCCATTTACTATTGGTATCCGACAAATATTCGGATAATTATCCGGATATCAATAGTAAAACGGATATCCGAATAAATTCAGATCTGGATATCCAATAGATAAATGGATATACGGATAATGGATAGGAACTCTAGCCGGATCACTTATTTCAAAATAAATACTTCATCAATTTCAATTAAAATTAGATTTCCGCGTTTTAACTTTGAAACCTCCTATTATTCGAATCGTCTCATTGAAATGATTCAATGATATTCCCTTAGCATCACTCATATTATATTATCCCGTTCATTCATCATTTTATCTATCAATTACCGTTACCATTGTTAATTATTCTTATATTATAACAGCATATGATAATTTCACATGATGATAATCACGGCGTATCTATATAGCTACTTTTATTGTAATCATAATTCCGAAAGATAAACATGCCTATTTAAGAAACATTATAGATAAGTAGATTTGGATTATTTAACCGCATAAAATTTTCCTCATTACGTAGTTTAGGAAGAATGTTGTTAACTGTTAGGCCAAAATTTTTGTCAAAGCCAGTTGTGTTAAGTAGTTAAACAATTAATTGATAAAAAAAAATTTTTTTAAGTGATTTCAATTCCTGATTATAAAAATAATAATGATAATAATTAATTCAAGTAATATAAATTCATATAAATAAATTATGATGAATAAAATATATATATATCTATATAATTTTATATACTTTAAAAATCTCCTCCATAGAGGTTAAATCAAATACAGACATTTGCTTAACTACTATTAAAATTCGGATGAGATTTTACATTTGCTACATGCGAAAGGTACGTACCAGCTAGCTTATCCAACCGAGGACCTGCGGATCCACCCGCCGAATCATCCGGTGTTTTTTTTTTCAAACAGGTTCAATTACTAATCCAAATCGTATTCTTCATTTCCGAATTTTTTAGTAAATTTCGACAATTGACCACTTTCATCATCCAAAGAATCATATTGTGTCGTAGGGTTCCAAAGTGGATGATTGCGAGTATCTTTAATTAATTTAATTAAAGCTTTTGGAGAGGTTGTACGCATTGTGTAAGTAGCTCCATTTGACAAAATTATTCGCTGAGTAAATAGTTCGGGACGAGTTGTCATTTGTGGCTTTTGAGGCAATGATTTAGTAGAATAAAAGCCAAAAAAAATTTTGGATACATTAAAAAATGAATGTGGTCGGGCTAGATGAGTTGTTAATAGATGTATTTGATTTGTTTTAAAATACATTATGAGGATATCAATATCAATAGATATCAATATGAGAACCAACTAATTTAAAGTTTTTTTTTTTTTTAACACAGTCATGCATTATAAACCGTGTTACGTTACATATTAAGGGGCTGTCTATATAAGCCACAAAAATTGATTCGGCCGACTTATGGCTTCGCTTAACAGTTAAATGTACGTACGTACGTAAATACACTACTGCACTAGCAGCTAGATATATATCTGTTATTACGTATAAATCAATAAAGTCAACCAATCAGGAAGAACGATAAAAAAAAAGAAATACTGTATTAGTACAAATATCGATACAAGAAAAAACTGATTTTACACTCATTGATATATCCTAACTAAAATTTCTAGATTTCCATTTTGAAACCTCGTGTTACGTCATATTTAAGTAAAGATCGAATGAGTATACTTTCAATCTAAATTAGGTAATATACTGGCTTATTAATTTATTGTTTAAATAAAAAAAGTCTGTGAAACAATAATGAACTTTCCATAAGTTTCGATGACATTCTTTATAAATCTGAAATCATCAAATTATATAATTCAATGATCGATTTTAAATATAAATAAATAAAATGAGCGGGATCGTTTTTTATAAAAAAGCTCACCTCCGAGCCCCACTTTCCACAAAAATATTCTTTAAATGTGTTAAAGTTTTACCATACCCGTGTCTTTTTACATAACATCATTTTAAACCTATATTTATCTTAAAAAAAACTAATCATATATACTTTTAAAGTATGAGTGCCACTCTACAACAGCATACATTTGAAATACCTAGTGTTGACCATAAAAAATGTTCGAGAAAACGGTTTTACTTTGAAGATGAACTTTCTCATAATGTGAATAAGCGAGTTAAGGCTCCTTTTCACTCGGATTTTCACTCGGATACCAATTTTTCTCCGTCTACGTTACCGTTCTCTTGTGACCGTGACAAAAAATTATTCACTTCGTTCAAGTCAAACAATATTGCTCTCAAAAAGAATAAAACCGTTCCGAATATTGATTCCCATTCAGAAATGTCTCGTATAATCGATCTTTCCACAGGCGAATCTTTGGATTCTGTTTCAAATACCGACCATGACCGACAAAAATTAAAACGTACATTAGAATTAGTCGAACATGATTATAAAGACTCCCCTTCCGTAGAAGGTGATAACTTCCTTGGCATTATGGGTGAACCCACTTTTGGTAATAATTTTCATAAAAAAATTCGAACTTCGAAGAAACCAACGGTAAATTACATTGAAGATGTTGAAGATGTTAAAGATGATTCAAGATTAATTAATAATACTGTTGGCACCATTCAAGAATTTAAAAACTATGTCACAACTAGTCCTTCAATTTCCAATATTTCTAGTACTTCAAATGTTACTATTAATCCAACAACAAAGTCCTTACCATTGGTAGTAAGACCCAAAAAAATCGAATTTACCCCGCAATATCAAGAAGTATTCAATAAGTATATGAGGTCACAGCTTGATACTGTAAATGATGATTATAGTGTTCATGGAAAAGAAATGGTTTTATATCGTCAAAACAATAAAAACAATAATGAATATATCATTAAAGATGACGACTATACGAATTCTGAAGGAAAGATTGTCGAAATTGAAGATGATGATGACATTCAAATGTTGGATACTGACGAGACTAATACCAGCGGAATAGGTGTCGGACTTTTATTTAATGATGGTGGTCAAAGTCTCGATGAGGACGATAAAATGGATATCGATGAATAAATAACTATTCAAAATTTGCTTTTTTCTATTATTTCATATTGTAGGGAATTAGACATTTTCGGTTATGCATTTAGACAATTTGGAAATTTCTTCCATTAATAAAAGTAATTTGTAGATCGTAATTATGTACAATTTGTAATTTGAAATACTATGCGTACGTATTGTACGTACTGCGAGGATCAAAACATCTACCAGCTACATAACAGATAACGTTACTGATATATGCATACACATTATTCCAGTTTTATACATATATGCGCTAATGAGATTACCATAGCTTCGCAAGAATACGACTTTATTTTTAAGGTTACTCGTTATAGGGGGTTAGGAAATTCCCTACTATATATAATCCTGTGGGTAACCCTTTCTATTATTTGATGTATACATTTCGAGCTGTTATGAGTGTTACTATTCCATAATACTGTATAAAACAAGCGCTTTAACATACCTTTTCATGAAGAGAACAAATACAATAATTAATAAACCATTACACCGGATTCTTTTAATTCCCAAATATCCTTCGATGTTAACCTGTCGAAATCTTCCATCGCAATAATAATCGTGAAGTAAATTAGCGATTAAGCTATCAAATTATACTGAATGGTAGGCTATATCATAGTATATGTATTTAAATTGACAGTTTAAGGGATATATTTTGAAGTTAGGAACCTAATGTACGTAAAAATTAATATTGAGAATTAATTTGTATTTATGACGTATACAAATAGATCTTTTCTTGAAAGCCATTGATTTTTAAATTAATATATTAGAATTGTATATTTAATATTGTACTTATAATGTATATACTGTATATACTGTACAAATATATTTTTTTAAAATCTTGGTTTTAAAAATAAAAACAATTGTTAATAGATTTTTTTTTTAAAAAAAAATAATCTTTGTTGGCTATTAGTAAATAATTTTCGTTGTCTATTTAAAAGCTCTATTAATTATTTAGTAGTGATGAAAAATTTTGACAATTTAATATTTATTAGTAGAATTAAATCAGTGTTGGCAATTTTTTGCGGCCAAACAATTTTGGGGGCTGGCCAACCAGCCAGCCAACGGCCCAATGGACAAACTTCGGCCAAAAATTTCTAATTTTATAATATATATTAGCCAATCATATTACTAGTTTTTACTATATATACTTTTGGCCATTTCGGAAATAAAATTTGGCCGTTGGCCGGCCAAATATCTATATGATTTAAATAATATAAGAACTAGAAGATCAAATGACCATTTTACAGCTTACAAATCAGATTTTGCAAGGTCAATTGGACAAAAATGAAAACAGTTGACGATTTTCATACAACATATAAAAAAATAATTTTACAATACCAGACATGTTGGATTATAATCATAACATGTACTAGCGGAATGTCTGGTATTGTAAAATTATTTTTTATATGTTGCATACCGTGTGAAAAATCAGTCGTATAACATCAACGGTCTTCATGCTACTGTACTGTAAAATTGATTCCCACCCTATTGAAATGTTTACATGAATTTTTTTTTTTTTAAAAGAAAAAAAAATCATTTTATATTACCGTTAATGTTTAAAAGAATATTATAATACAGTAAGAATTAATTGTATAATAACAAAAATCATGATCTGTTTGTGGTAGAACTTCTTTTTTTGGTACACACTCTGACTATATTACAGCATTATGTATTATCAATTAGCACAACTACCAATTTGATTGCCTATATAGACAATATCTAGATTGTACCCAATTATAAATCATTCAAATAAATATTTAACTCTATATCTTTTTTTATCAAATAGCAAAAATCACTATAAACTTATATAAGTTAATACTTTTTTATAATAATTTTTATAATATAAACTCTATTCTCTTTTAAAACCAACCTATATATAACTTTCTATCCAAACAACTTTTTAGATTCTAGAAACATATAGGGTAAAGTCAATAGAAACAGGACAATTTTATTAGATAAATTTGTTTTATATTTATTGATATTACCCTATATATTGATTTTTTTTTTTTTTTAATATTAAGATAACCACTTAGACTCTTGGCATTTTATTAGTACTAATGGGTTTATTAGTTAAGTAAATCAATGACATGTTACAAAAGTATTACAAGAGTACAACTAGCCACACATACAACTTTTAGTTGTCTAATTTAAGTAGTTTGCTCTAAGGTTCTATACTAGCCACCATGCCTATAGCCTAACTAGAAAGCTATCTATTTAAACTCTCTGGCTTTAACCCCTGCACTATGTTTTTTCTAATATATCTTTTTGGGATAATTTGCCATTAAAGACTCTAAGACTTTAGCCTCTAATTAGTCTAGTTTTCTAGAAAAGTATTTATCCTTGTAGTAAATCTAACAGAATAGTATATATTTTACACATGTACTTTATCTGCATATTTGGTAACTTTCTACTAATTAGTACCTGTTGTGCTGCCACTACCAAGTCCATATCTCAAGCTATCTTTTTGGATACTGCCATAGCCCGATCCATATCTCAAGCTACAACCTTTCTAATTAGTTTTCTATTATATATTCTCTGCCCTTGCAAAGTTCACAATAACCCTAGTACTTATATTTTAACTTTCTTTTTTCTCAGATTCCTTACTGGTCTCTTCTTTACTTCCAGCCAGCAACCTGGAAAGGTCAGTTTGCCCAGGTTCTAAGTGCCTTATAGTCTCTTTCCTTTTGGTATATGCTTTTAGAGTACAAGTTCTTTTTCTCTAGTAGCAAGCTGGCAGTTTGGCTAGTATGTTCTCCCACTTAAGGACCTGGTTGCTTGGTTCTCTGATTTTAGTTTCTGATTCCAAATTTAATCTTTCTGTAGCACTGTTGAAGGTTACTGCTACTTCCAACTCAGAACTTTTCAAACAGGTTTTGATCATCGCAGTTTCTTGGCCTTTTATATACCAAAGCTCTTATATAAACATGGTGTTATTAAGATTACAGGTTCTGAAACCCAACTGATTAACAAATAACTGTCACTATTTTACAAGCTTATTTTTTGAAAATGTTGTTCATGAGATTCAAACTTTAAACCTGCTATCTAGAAATATAACAACTCCACTACTTCATTAAGTCACTACACTCTTTACTTTATATATTGATTACTTAATTAATAATTACTATATAATAAAAAAAACTTAAACAGAACTTCTATATAAAGCTAAACAAACTTAATTGTATTAAAATTACTAAAAACAAGCTATCTGTATTATTAATATAGTTCTATATACATATTTATAATACCAAATCTTTAATATTTATTTTATATTATCCAATAGTTAATTCTTGTAGTAAATTAAAATAAAATCAGATTAAAATAAAATTTTTCTATTTTTTTAAAAAAATTTAAAATTTTTTGAAAAATATTTTTTAGAGTTAGAGTTAATGTTAAAGTTAGGGTTTAGAGTTAATTTTATTAATAAAAAAGTATAAGTGGGTTTTATAAGTTTTAAAAATAAGCAAAAAAAGTTTCTAGTTTTATTTTAATTTGATTTCATTATAATCTACCACAATTCTTTATATACTATTACTTTTTTACTATAAAATACAAAACCTTGCTTACTTATAGCATCTCTAACTCTCTTTTATTTTATTTAAATATCTATATATTAATAAATACTTATAAGCTTTAACAAGCTTACTATATAGCAATACTTAATAATATATTAAATTTATTTTTTATCTTATTAATTTTCTCTTTTCAACTTCAACAACTTTAAAACAATATCTTTACAATATATTTATTCTTACTAACTAATCTTAATTTATTTATAAAAAATATAAATCTTTATAATTCATTTTGTAATTAATATTTACTAGCTTAATATCCAATATACTAAAGTAGCTAATCCTGATCTAATACTACTTCAAATATCTAATCACTCTATTAACCCTATTCTTCTTAATCTAAAAAATTATATTTATATAAAATACTATCTAAATCAATACTATATTTTGCAATAGAGCAATTTACTAATTATAATAATATTAAAACTCTAAGCTAGAAAAATTTTTACTATAATATATTTAAAATATTTCATAGCTACTATCTCAAATAGTTTATATTAATCAAAAAAACTTTAAACAAACTTATTTTATTTTTCTCTAAACTTATTTATTTCAACCTATTTATTTGAACCCTAGCTAATAGTTATACAAAATAAATAATAATATCAAACTGCACTTTTGGCAAAATTACTTTATTATATAACAATTTTTTCAAAACTTAATATTAAAATCTAGACCATATTACTAATATATTAATACTTTGTAACTTATATTCATATTATAATTATACACTTTTAATATCTTCTACTTAATTTAGATTCCCAAATCTTTAGATTATCAAATTCAAGTATTCTTAAAACAGATTTGGCATAGCATGCTTACAAATCTACCAACTCTACTTCTATTACTTAAACATAATAAAAAACCAATATACTATATACTATAAAATTATTTTTACTTATTTAATATAATACAAATACATGATGAATATATTAAAAAAATTTGGAATATATATTTAACTTTTTCTAACCTAATATTAATATTAGCCTAACTAACAATTACAGCTTAAAGAAAATATATTCTTATATCTACCTTAATTCCTATCATTTTTAACTATAATACAAAACTAGTTATACAAAATAAATACTAGCTTAGTTTAGTAAAAATTGCAATTTCAATTCTATATATACTTCTTATAATAGCTTCTACTAACTTAAATATAAACCTTATTATAAATTTTACTATTATAACCAAAATACTTTTTTTGATAACAAGCTTATTATTTTTTATAGCTTATACAATTTGAATACATGCAAATGCAAGCTATCTAATGGCTATTTATATAGCTATATATACTAAATACATTACTTTTCAAGTTATATATTCTTATCTAACAAATTTAATTCATCCCTATAATACTATTTTACAGACTAAAATTACAATAATAATCAACACTTATCTTCTTCACTTCAACTACTAACTAACTTC